AGCACAGAAGGCCCAGCAGCCCCACGTGCTGGAGGCACCAGACCACCTTCCTCCGGAGCCCGGCGCTGTTCCGCGAGTAGATGAAAGGGTTGAGTCCCGACTTGAAGAAGATGAGCGTGAAGCCAAACAGTTCAAACTGGTAAAGGATGAAGCTGCCGCTCTTGGACAGGACCACCTGCACCAGGGAGATGCCCAGCGGCAGGCAGCACACCAGCACGGACAGCACGATGACCACACAGGTCACCACCGCCTTGGAGTCCTTGGCGGCCGACAGGTTGATGGCCGACACCAGCTGCAGCCGGCTGGCCACCGGGGTGGGCAGCTGCCTGAGGCTCCTGGGGTACCCATGGGCCTGCGCGTGCTGCTGCTGCTGGAGCTTGTTGTAGTTCTGGTTCCTGTAGAGCGCCGGCATGGGGTCCCCCGCTGCCGCCTTCCCCGCGGCCCCCATGAAGGGCTGCGGCCGGGAGACATCCACAGTGATGACCGGCGGGCACTTGTGGACCTGGGCGTTCTTGCGCAGGGTCTGGGCGATCATGATGTAGGACACGGCCACCACGGCCACGCAGCAAGTGAAGTCCACCACGTAGAGGGACAGCACAGCCTTGCCCTCCCCGGCGATGAGGCTGGACATGGGGAGGCACAGGTGGGACTTGCTGGTCTTCAGGGTGGCCAGGGTGGCCAGGGTGAAGCTCGTGGTCCACAGGAGCAGGGTGAGGAGCAGGGTGCAGGGGAAGGGCGCTGTGCGGTTGGGCTGCTTCCCCAGGACCATGCGCAGCCGGTGGAGGGCGATGACGGCCACCGTCTTGAGGGACATGATGATGAAGCCAGAGCTGGTGAGGTGGAAGGTGAAGCAGAAGGCGTCGGGGATCCCGCTGGCGGAGCTGAAGAACAGCACGAAGACGAACATGGGCGCCGTGATGCCGCAGATGAAGAGGTCACAGAAGGACAGGTTCAGGGTCAGGAAGTCGAAGTTGGTCCGGAATTTGCGGAAGGCCGGGTCGAAGAAGGACAGGAAGACGATGAAGTTGCCGTAGGAGCCCAGGCAGAAGATGACGGCCAGGAGGAAGGTGCAGGTCACCAGGGTGGCCGTGTGGATGAGGTCCTGGAGGTCCTCCTGCAGAGAGGTGCCATTGTCCAGGCCCGGGGACTGAGGCACGTGCAGCCAGGTGGCATTGGGGGCATCCTGAAGGTGGCCTGTCGAGTTCATCTTCTTGGACAACTGCGTCTCGCTCTCGGGGGGCCTGGAAAGACTTCAGCAGGAAAGGAGTCGGGGCCTCAACTCACAGAGGAACAGGTGTGTGCTGAGGAAGGTCCGAGGCAGGGAGGCCTGTGCACAGAATCACACACCCAGAGGCGGAAAGGGAGGCGTGGAGAAAGCAGAAGATCTCGTTATTTTACACAGTTTACAAAAGGTGCCAGTCAGAAAGATCTCCACTCTGACCCAGCACAAACACAGCCTTTCCTTTCACTGAGGCCAGTGTGGAAACAATACAGACTTCAAAATATGTTCATCCATCCAAGTGCATTTCAGAAAATTTAAGCGACACGGTGTGTTTTGAGCTTAGGTAAGTGCTATCTTGAGTTGCTGCCATCGTGTCACAGACCTCACAGCTGGTCCTCCACTGGGTTTCAGAGGCCGTAAATCACACAGGAAGGGACTGCCCATCTGACTTTCTCCCACGGAGCTGCTGGTGGATTTGAACCAGCTGCCTTTGGGTGGGAAATGCAACTCCTTATCACTAGGCCACAAAAGCTCCCTGGTCTTTTAAAAGACAAATTCCTGGGTTTCACCTCTTGAGATTCAGATTGAGAGGTCCTCACTCCCTGCTAGGAAGTAGCGATTTCTGGTGGCTTAATGGTAAGGAGCTGTGCTACCACCACAAAGGCACGTGGTTCGAATCCACCCACTGATTCTCAGGAGAAAGATGGTAGTCTCCTCCCATGCGAGTTGTTGTTGTTTTGTATGTGCTGTGGGGCCATCTGTGACCCTGTGTACAACAGTTCTGAACCCTGTCCGATCCTGAGCCAATCTCACCGTCTCCGACACACCTAGCCCCAGTACCACATGTGATTTACTGCCTCTGATAGCCCTTTGCAGGGTCAGCTAAGGGTCGGTTCCGACTTGACGTTCACCACAGCAGTGACCCTGCTAACGAGATTCACACAGCAGGTGAGAGCAGTTTTATAGGGGTGGGTGCAGAGGGGAAGAGGACACAGTCCAGCCCTGGGAATGGGCTATGAAAGCCTGAAAGGTCTGGATAAGGGCTTCTGAGTCACCAAGGAGGGGCAGGTCTGGGAGAGGGAGCAGGTCTTCGTACAAGCAGAGGTACCCAGGCAAGAAACAGTGTAGGCCCGGAATGGAGGCAGATGAGGCTGCTGTCCTCCAAACAACACAGCCCTTTTCCTAACTCCCCCCAGATCATAAAAAAAAAAAAAAAAATCACATTTTCACCCCTGAGGAAGAATCTCTTATTGGAGATTTCATCCTTGAGATCCCTTGGGAAGCATTATGCCTTCCTTGGAAAAACCGTCGAGGGCTACATTTGATAGAGGGAAGTGAAAGCGACAAGGGTGTCAGTTCTATTTGGGATCGGCAAGATGCACAGTGCCACGTCCACAGGGTAGTGGGTTGACTCCTCCCAGGGGTGCCACAAAAGAAAGGTCTGTAAATCTGCTTTGGTTACAAACTGCACCCAAGAAAACCCAATGGATCAGTTCTACTCTGTAGGACAAGAGGTCATTCTGAATCAAAATTGGGGGGAGTTTCCCCAAGTTCTTTTTAGTAGGCAGTGTTAAAAGACAGTCTTTCACTTAAAAAAAAATTCAATTGTTAAATTAGAGAGTTAGGTCTAACCGATGAAAAGAGAATAGAAAGGAAACGTAAACATGGGGAAACGGGAAGAAGAGAGGTGATAACCTGCTTCAGCACTCAAGTCATCTTCTCCTACCAGTGAGGGCTTCCCCTGTTAAAGGCGAGAAATGAAGAAGGGTGAAAGGCGGCAGAAAGAATGAGGAGTCACCAGGATGCTGAAAGATGCTGAAAGGACACAGGAAGTGACGATGAAGGCGTGATACAATGGGATTTATGGACCACCTTGGGCAAAGAGGGATTTGGGGTGATGAAGATTAAGTGTAGGAGCTGAGATGCTAACATCAGCCAAGGATAAAGAGCAGAAGGAGAAAAGCATTAGGGAGAGTTGAAGGTCAACCTTCATTTTCTGTACAGTTAGAATTTCTTCAATAAATTTTAAATACTTCAGAAAACTAATAACTAACAAAGGAGAATTCCAGGCCAGGAAATAAACTCAACAAAGTAATTCTCAGTAATGATAACAGTACCTTTACCAAGTGTGTATGATACACCTGATACTGTTCTCAGTGCTCTACACTATTATTTAATCTCAGAACTCTGAATTAGGCACCATGATTTATCTCTCTTTTGCAAATGAGGAAACTGAGTCAGAGAGATGATGCAATTTAAAGTGGTAGAGTGTGGATTTGAATCTAGACAGTGGATCTCCAAAGTCTGCACCACTATCCTAAACCTAGCCAAGAATTAACAGAGGACTCCCAGGTCAGAAGACAATTACAGTAACCATAACACTGAGAAGAATGGATATCCCACAAAACTTACTTGTGCTCATGTGAAGTCTATACATAAACCAAGAAACAGGTGTTCAAACAGAACAAGGGAACACTGTATGGTTTAAAGTCAGAAAAGATGTGCATCAAGCTGATATCCTTTCTCCATACCTACTCAATCTGTATGCAGAACAAATCATGTGAGAAGCTGGAAGATAAGAAGAAGGCATCACGATTGGAAGGCAACTCACCAACAACCTGTGTTATACAGATGATACAACCCTGTTTACAGAAAGTGAAGAAGGCTTCAGGTATTTTCTTAAGATCAAAGATTACAGTCTTCAATATGGATTACAGCTCAACATCAAAAAAACCCCAAAACTACTCAACACTGGACCAGTAGGCAGCATCATGGCAGTTGGAAAGATCACTGATGTTACTTATTTCATTTTACTTGGGTCCATAAGTAACATTCATGGTAACAGCAGTTAAGAAATCAGAGGACATGTTGCACTGGGGAAATCTACTGTCAAATGTCAAGGATCTCTCCAAAGTCCCAAAGGGCAAGAATGCCAGTTTAAAGATTAAGATACATCTGATCCAAGTTATGGTATTTCCAGTTGCCTCACACAGTGCATGTTAGATAAGGAATAAAAAAGACCAATGAAGAGTGGATGCATTTGAACGATGTCTGATGTTGGAATAAAGTACTGCAAATACTATGTACTGTCAAAAGAGCAAATAATCTATCTTGGAGGCACACAACCAAGGTGCCTTAGAGGCAAGGATAGTGACTCTTCTTTGGACAAGTACTTGTGGGAAAAAAGACATCATGTGGGGAAATGTTGAGGGTCAGGAAAAGTTAAGACGTTCCTCAATAAGATTAACTGAAAAGTGACTATAACAACACCTGAACAAAGGCAGAGACTGTAAGAATGCAGAGGATACGGAAAAGCTCCAGTCTGCTGTTTATCAAGTTGCTATGAGTCACAGTTGAACTGCTGGCACTGAATAACAACATATACTAAGTCACCACATAGTGTTTATTTCTATTCTCTCCTTCTCTCTCTCCTCGTTGAGTTGGAACTTTCTCATCACTGACCCTCCAGTAAGTTTTGAGAGCTCTAAGTCGCACAGGAGGAGACTGCCTATTTTTCTCCTAAGGTGCAGCTGGTGGACATGAACACTTGCACTTGAACTGGCAGTACAACTTCTTATCTGCTAGGCCACCACGGCTCGTGAGCAGACAAAAGAGTCCAGGTTTCAGTAGACAGCTGTTTTTGGAGAAATAAAGCAAATGTGTGGGGGAGATTAAACAAAGGCTTTAGACCTAACTTCTGAGATGTAAGGAAAAGAAAATTTGGAACAAAACTAATAATGGCCGAACTAAAAAATTCAGGGTAGAAAGGGGAATAAGTGAACACCTATTGCCATTCTTAAATATGAAATAAAGGTTATTTGAAATAATAATGAAACTTATTTTCAATACAAGCACATAGAAATGGCAGTGTTGGGTGGGTTTTAGCCTCTTGGGACAGCAAATAAATCCTGGGAGAGGATGAGATAAAAGTTATCAAATCAGAAAGCTCAGAAAGGCACTGGGTACTTTATGAAACCTCTGTATAGCCATGCACACGCGCCACAAGACAAGCAGAGCATGCATCTTGTTGGAAATGTGGAGAAATCCTGAATAAGTAAGCAAATCCTGAATAAGTAAGCAAAGTATGTTGTTGTTGACGATTGCCTTCAAGTCGAGTACGACTCATAACAGCTGAATGAGCAAAAGGTCTGAAGCCCCTCTACAACCATCGACATTTCTCAAAGTTCATAGAGTTCCCGGAGGCATGTTGTTTAGGAAGTGGAGGCCACTCCTGTAGTAACTGTAAACTCATTGTACAGTTACAGGGATTTCTCATTAAGGGGTGTGTGCTCTTTTAAGTTTTTAGTAGATATTAGGACACGGTTTATGAATTTTTACATAGCAACTCCTAACTTGGAATCTTAACCCAATATTAATGCCCCTCGTGATGTCTTAAGTTCCTGGATGCAAAGCACCAAAGCTCAAGTCCTTTGTGAACCTGGTGTTCAGCATCTGGAAGAGGGAGACCTCAGAGAGGTCAACCAACTTGCTCAAGGTCACTAAGGTTCAAGATAGATTTTACTGCCTCCAGAAGCCTTTTCTATCCTTACGCGGCTGGATCTCCTACAGGCCGTAAGAGAAAGAGTAAGAAGACGTGGGTGAGGAGACATGGCACAGGGGACATGGCCAGGACCGAGTGGCCGGGGGTCTTCCCACCCCGTCCTGGGGACCCGAGTGAGTACGCGGCTGAGGAGTGAGGTGGTAGACGGAGTGAGGAGACCTCTGCCAGATGGCGAGGGCTGGGCGCTCGGGGAGGCGGTGGCAGGAGGGCCTAGGCCCGAGCCGGGCACCTTGTACGTAGAAGCATCTTCAGGGGGAGCGCAAGATGCGGCTCATCCAGGGAACCTCCAGGCTGGGGGCTCTGGGGCCAAGCTCGGGGCGCGCAGACCGGGAGATGGCCTCCCCGGGGCCGTGGGGCGCGCAGGTGCGCGGCGGACAGGCCTGGCGCCGGCGGGCGCGCTCCTCCCCGGCCCAGCTCTCCCGTC